GGGGTTTTCTATGTGAATTGACGGTGCATCCGCCACCGTATATTGTAAGAGTACAGTGACAGTGTCGAACTTTTCCCATGGAAATTATTTTCTATCCACCGGATTTTCCACCTTGATTTCTCACCCGGCTTAAAATATAGCCGTATCCGTTCAACTGTTAGCCTTCTTGTGTCTTTTTGAGCAACTGATGATTGCATGATCACCACCAGAAGGTTTCCTTCTGCTTGTTTAACAATGCATAGCACATGTTTGCATTTATGTGGAAGCAGTGCCAACAGTGATGAGCTATATCGAAACTATTGTTTCTTGCTTCTTTAGCATCGTCAGCCGGGAGGACCTGCGATTTGATTGCATGCCGGATCGTTAATAGAAAATTTAAGTCATCTGCTTCTCTAGTAGAACCATTGGGGTTGTTCTGCAGTAGAGTGTGTGTTTGCTGCCTGCGGCCGTGAAACTCCAATCAGAGGCCCTCGTAAGCAGTCGTATGGCAAATAAAAACCAACTGCATAAAGTGAATGTCAGCATTACATATCTAACGTCTACGATTGGGTAATACGGTAAAAAATTAGTTCTCCTAAAAAGCCGAAGTGGCCAAACTCTGTGGACAGGGACTGAAATTCTGTCGGGTTTGAGTTCTCACAGTGTCCAAACTTCTGTTATCTTGATGGCTACTACTTCTAAGACATCTGCAATCTGTTCTTCTTACGAGAAAGATTAAGAGCAACGGTTATGCATTTTTTTGGTTTCCTAACCTGTACATTGGTTTCTCTTTTTTTCAGGCGACCAAATGTTCATCACTCCTGATGGAACGCACGCAAGACGTCAATCGACGTACCATGGCCCTCCTGTCCAGCCGTTGCTTCTTCTATCACGGTCGTGCTTTTGAACTCGACGGTAGACTGGAGGAGATCAGACCGTTTTTGCATTCTCGTTTGCGAACAGCCACGCTGAAAAATGTAAGAGTTAATTGCCACGCGCAACATCCTGTAGCAGCTTGAATTAATAATATGGAGACGAGCTGCATCCGTAAGCGTAGATTGATAAAAGAATTTAAAAATATGTGAAGCAACTGTAGTTTTTTTAGTTAATAGGTTATGATAAATCAAAAGACTGCACTCGAAAAAGGCCACCCTTCCTCTATGGGTTGCGTTGATAAATTCGAGACCCCCAAATTGAGTGAGCTAATTTTTTTGTTATAAACATAGTTTAAAAAATATTCCAGTTTCTTTCTCACCCGATGGTGGAGCCATAATTTCGATCGGATGACTGATCCAACGTTTATTGTATGGTTTTTCTTATTTTGTCTCAGGACTTTGCCGTTTTATATATAAGCAGACGGTTGCCCGATGGCATCCTTGATTTCAGGCCGTAGCTTTTGGAACTGACCTTCAATGAAAACAGAGTTGCAATTTATTCCGCAGCTCACCAAACATAGCTTACTTTCCAGATATGCCCTGAACTCAACAATGTTACTGAAGTGAGATTAAAACATCGAGAAGTGCGAAATATACTATGACTGTAGGCTTAAACGTTTCCTAGCTCAGTATTAATCCGTAATGTACACATTTTCAAACTATCGTGAGAGGTTGGTAGATTTTAATCTGGAAAACCGTCACAGGATGCAATCGAATTCATAATCTATATAACTTTAAACCACAGGACACTCTGGTTACCCGAGTATCATGTACTTCCTACATCTTATTATGCCTTTCTAACCACATCTTATTCATGTCTTGCGAAAGCACTTACCTTCTTTTCTTGCTGTCATAAAGACACATCGTAAAACCCATAAACTATTAGGCTACCTTTTTAAATTTCTAGTAGGCTTCACAAGGTTAATAAAAGGTACGCTTACAGTTGCATATTAAGTTAAATACACATATTTAACAATTCTCTCTAACTGACGCCTTTTAAACTACTTAATTATTACGAGGATGGAATCTCCCATCGTGTCTAAACTCATACATGATAAAAACACAGATGCACGCACTTAGAAAGCGTGGTTGCTTTCTTTGACTACTTATTCCGCCCATTGTGTCATTTCAGGAGCACGATTGCCAAGCTGTGCTGATCAACCTTCTGTTGCGAAATTACCTGCACTACAATTTGCACGATCAGGCCAACAAGCTGATAAGTCGCGTTGAGTTTCCCGAAAGTGCTCCAAATAATGAATGGGCTCGATACCTGTACTACTTAGGTATGTCTGCCTTTTGTCCTTATTCTATATGCAATTATTACTATTCCTGTCCTGTATTTGATCATGCCAATTTACTGTGTACACAGACGAAACTCTTTTTATACCAGGTTCTGGTAGGCCAAGTGGCTATAGAAGACAGTCCTAACCGGCGTCTTTAAGAAGTATTTGATGTAGATACGAGCGAAAATGCGAGTCGCTGAAAGTAATCCAGAAGAAGCAGATATGGTCGCTGGGACGATAGTTTTATTCGCCTGCCGTTTCGAAATCTGTCGCGGACCCATCATCAGAGATGAGAGCAGGAACGGATAATTCATACACAGGGAGTTGCAGTATTTATGTGATACAATCGCTATGTTACTGCATACTTATGACAATTAACAGCTCCCCTCTGGATGATAGTTGCCCGCTTTTGTGCTAATTGCTTGATGGCTAGTGTTTGGGTCGTGATCTATTGAAATTTCATCACCAGTGCTGGGTTTGGGCGGGATGATTGCTCGGCCATCTGGCTCCGTGGCGGTGGCGATAGACGACGGGTTGGCAATCGATAGGGTGAGCCGTTAATTGTCATAATTATACAATGGCATGGTGACTATACTCTATAAATACGTAGACTCTCTGTGTATGAGTTATCCGTTTCTGCTATTGTCTCCGCTGATCAATCCGCGACGGATTTCGAAAAGTCAGACGAATAAAATTCTTGTCTCAACGATCATATCTGCTGCTTCTCGATATTTAATGTGTAGGAATTTGTAGGAAAAGACAAATGAGATCGGGTTGGCTATTTCTGATCTCTTTATTGTGGCCAGTCAGTCCTCTCAGAGGCTGGTGAAATCTAGGTTTGAAATCTGACCCAACTGGGCCATGTGCTCTGTCAACAGCAGTCGGTAAGGTTTCCAGGCACAGCTGACTGGCATCAGTACTCGTAATTGGAGCAGTCCTGTTTACCCTGCAGTTCCACTCTGATAAAAAAGACATTTAGAGTGAAATTTAACCTTTTGTTTTTCATCTGCTTTTCTTTTGTGAGTGCCTACTAGTTACTATGACCTACTGAGAACGTAAGATTTCATCGGAGTAGCATGGTGCTTCAACACACATTACCTGAACGTACATAAAGTGGAGTTTGACCGCTTGGTTAACTACTTACTTTTACTCAATAACCCCTAGACCGATTTATTATCACTGCTCCTTGTATACAGCATTCTCTCCTCACCAACCATACCCTTCCAGGTTTCATAAAAGCTATTCAACTGGACTACAATGCCGCGCATGATCATTTGGTGTCGGCTCTTCGCAAGGCTCCCCGACAGACGGCGGTGGGCTTTAAGCATGCTCTGCACAAGTTGAACACCGTAGTTGAACTTCTTCTCGGTGAACAGCCGGATCGTGGCACTTTCAGACAGCCCGAACTCAAGGCTGCTTTGCAACCATACTTTCAGCTCACGCAGACAATTCATTCAGGCGACTTGGGGCAATTTAGCCAGGTTCTCAAAAAGCATGCCACCCAGTTTACTCGTGACAAAACCTACTCACTCATTGTGCGTCTCCATCACAACGTAATCAAGACCGGTGTCAGGCGAATTTCCCTGAGCTATTCAAAAATATCACTTGCTGATGTCGCGAACAAGCTGCAGCTCGGCGAAGCGGATGATGCGGAGTACATCGTTGCAAAGGTAAGCCTGCCATGACACATGAAACTCTATAGCACCTTGCAGCTTTAAAAACTTGATTTCGCTCGTTTCGACCGTCGGGATAATTGCATTATGACGTCAGCCTATCCGGTGTGGTTTCACGTGTTGTCTCTGTAGTCTTGTGGTGTGCTTCCTAAACGGGCCTTGTGGTAGATGTGCTGGACCAACACGGAGGTCAAATCAGGGTATGGCAGGCGTTATTTGGGTTATGCTCCCATTATAAATGTCGAGCATAAGAGTGTGGTGGTACGAATAGGAGGGGCTTCGGCCGCGCCAGCTACCTGCGCCCGATTCCATTTCTGGTCTTCTTGACTGTGTCTTGACACCAAACACAAGTGCGTGAGAGAGGGAGGAGAGAAGGCAGCGCAAGTCTTCTGTCACTTAAAATTAATCCACGCGCAAACCACCGTCCCCGCACCACTACGCTTTGGAGTATACAGTGGAAATCATCGAAACCAATGGCCGAACTGTCAAATAATCTGTTTCT